ATAGAGTTTGAGCTTCATTTTATATAAATGAAATTGAAGCAAGTGAGTGGTTAGGGTTGCCTTACTGCAGCGTGAACAAAGGGGGAGAGGGATGGGGACTGAGAACATTCGTATTCCAGAGATGGGCAGAGAAGGCGGTTGAAAGGTAGCAAGCCCAGTAGCGTGAGTCAGAATGGAACCAAGGAGAATAGGGCGCCTCTGGGGAAGACTGTTTGAAAGAGGATGTTTAGGAGACATATTATATAAGACGACTGAAACTTGAAGACTGAATTTGTGACCTCCAAATGTCAAAGCCAAATAGCAGTGAGGAGAGAAACTTGGAGTTGGAGACTTGGAGACCATCATGAGGGCAGTGATATAAGACAGAAATGTGCAATGAACAGAGCCTTTTTGGTTTTGGTTTTCATTTTTAAGGTTAGCAATGACCACATGCCCACAGAGAATTGAACTGTGATGGCAGGATTACAAACGCAGAAGCAGAGATGAGTGAGAGGAGGGTGTGCTTCAGCTGGCAGAGGGGAAGAGCTGCTCCAGGAGCAGCTGTCAGCAGCTAAGTGACATTTCTCCAGCACCCTCAGTCCCACTTACTGGAATAAGAGTGTCAGCAGACAGCAGCAGGAAGTTGAGGGAGTCATTGCCTCAACACATAGTAGTTCTTTCTGGTCATCTGGAAGCTGGGACTGTTTTAAAGCAGTGCTATATTTTAACCTAACTCCATCTGTACTAATCCACATTACAGTGCCTTCTGTCTGATAACAAAGCTATGCCCCTCTCTGGTCTGTAGTCAGAGGGAATTCTCCAGAGGCTCAATCACGTGGGAACCCTGCAAATGGATTTGGGCTTTCACTGTTCTCCAGAGTCCCTGAAAAATGTTGTTTATAATTTAAGCTCTGATACCATTCCTTCTTTTTAATTTGGATTTTATTATGTACAATCCTTGGATCACACAGGCCAAAGTGCTTCTCCATGGTCAATGCCTCACTTAGATGGCTGATTGTTTTAAGATAAGCCATTAGATGCTATTCCTTCTGATATCAGGCAACATCTTATTTCTTCACCAAACTTTGCTGCAGCACGCAGATCTTCAGTGATCTCTTCGTGAGGGCAAGTATGGAGTAGGGCCATGTCATGAGAACTAATTGTTCTTAGCTTAGGGGGACACTTAAGTGCAAGCTCTAAGTCTATTCATATATCTATGCTTTATATGTGTTCCTGGCTTATATTAGAGACATTGTTTTCATTTTATTGGAGAACATTATAAATCTTCCCCATGAGGCATAAGGTAATTATATTGATAAGATCATTCATTTAGCCAGTGACATAGAATTTAAAACAATGTTTAGAAAAGGAAAGTATACCTGTATAGGATAGTTTTTGAGACCAAAATTCACGGATTATTGACTTGTACAGATTAAAAACGTTAGTAACTGGAAACGTCATACAAATAATGAGGGTTGGAGTTGGGGCACAACTTGCAATAACACTCATTCACAAAGGCAGAATCATGCCTGCTAGACTAACACATGTCCTAAGACAGCATGAAAATAGCAAATATAGCATAGACCAGAGCAGACATTCACTCATTGGACACCCTGATAGCAAAAGATGGGTATAAAGACCAATGACCTCCAAACCCATCACCTTGAGAGAGCAGTCATCTATGGAAGCTGGGACGTTGATTGCGGTTGCTGTGGTTGTGCTATGAGTGGGTTCTGACTCATAGCCATCCAACGTACAGCAGAATGAAATGGAGCCCTGTTCTGTGCCATCCTCACAATTTTTATTATGTTCACAATTCTTGCAGCCCCTGTGTCAATTCAGCCCATTGAGGATCTTCCTCATTTTCACTGGCCCTGTAGTCTACTACGCATCAAGTCCTTTGCCAGGGACTGGTCATTCCAAATAATATGTCCAAAGTATCTAGGCAGTCTCTTCTCGTCCTCCCTTCTACATTGCCCTCTGGAAGCACTTCTTTCCAGGCAGATTTGCTCGTTCTCCGAGCTGCCTGTGCCCATTCTGTATTCGTTGGCAGCACCGTAATTCAACTGTGTCTGTTCTTCCCCAGTCTTCCTTATTCATGCCCCAGTTTTCGCATGCATGTGGAGGGAGTTCAAAAAACGACAGGGGCAACTCAGAAGTTCAGACCTCTTTGCTCTTTAGCACTGGAAGCAGAGCTTTGCAGCAGTTTTGCCCAATGCAGTATGTCACTTGGTTTCCTCTCTGCTATTGCCATGGGCCTTGATTGTGGAAGCAAGCAAGCATCCTTGATAATGTCAACCTTTTCTCTGTTTGTCACATGTTGTTTATTGGTCCAGTTGTGAGGATTGTTTGCCTTATTTATGTTGAAGTAAAATCCATACTGAACCCTGTGTACTTGAACTAGGAGATTTACTAGGAATAAAAATCACTTGATAGGGGAGGTTGAGGGGAAATGGGGAGCTAATAATGATGAGCAAAAGATTGAAGAAAATATTTTAAAATTGATTGTGGTAATGATTGTACAACCCTTTCTTGATGCGACTGAACTATTAAATTGTATGGCAAGTACATTACATGCCAATAAAACTGTTGGAAAAAATTAAAAGTAAAAAAAAAAATCACTTGTCAGAAGTTGAGATTTGAAACACTTGGAGGAGTGTGAAGTGGCTAACAATGAGCTGTTTTCATTTTTGTCCATGTCTGATAGCAGCCCTCCTCCTGCAGGGCAAGTGTACCCTCAAGTCTCCATAGCTTTGGACCTTGCCATGGGGTCGTAGCTAAATGCTAATGGCTCAAACTTGGGGATGTTATGAGGGCTTGATAGCTTTGTGGGACAGCAGGAAGGACAGGAAAAACAGCCTGAGTGGAAGAGAGGAGGAAGAAGGAAGGAACTGGCAGCTTTGCTGATGCGCAGGAAGCCGCTGTCTTTCTTCCTGGACATCCCAGGTCCACTCCACACCCTCCTGGGGTCAGTTAGTAGAAAACCAAACTAAACTCACTCCTTTTTGTAGAGTCATCCTGCATAAGCACAGTGACGGTTGGTGAGTGACATTTGGATGAACCATTATGATTGATGAGGTCCCTGGCCTTTCACGCCTTAGAAAAGAAGCTATTTTTGTCTCCCTGAAGTTAAAGGTTGTGAGAAGCCCACCAGTTCCCAGGTGGAAGCCAGTGTCTTTTTTGATTATCTGAGAAAGGACTCCTTGACTGAGCCGTGGTAACTCTCAATCCCAGCCAGGCAACTCCAGTGACTTCCAGAAGAGATGCCATGTTGTTTACGCCTTAGGAAGCACTTTTAGGGAAAGGTGAGCAGCACACAAAAACACTAAATCTCTTCTTTTTCCAATTTTCCTTTAGAGGAGCGGAACTTTTCCAGGCCACAATTGTAAAGGCAGTAAAGGCAAGAATTGAGGAGGAGAAAAAATCAATGGACCAATTGAAGAGACAGTAAGAATGTATTTCACTCACATTCTCCGGTTCTTTTATTTTCTGATTGGAATACCACATCAAACTGGTCTGAGCTCTTGGGGGACCCCAATCTACCTGGAAAATATGTTTGTGTCAACTCTCACTTCTCCCTGAGTATAGCATCTGTGTCAGGACAATTGCTTGTACCTATGAGACTGAAAATGAACAGAGTTTAATAGAGAGATATCAACAGTGTGCTGGAAAAGGAAGCTGACTCAGAATAAGACCAGCATTCCAATACTGTCCTAGCTACTGATTGCGGTACCTGAAGAAATCAAATTCTCAGAATGTCAGTTTCCAATTTTTCAGCTAGGACTCACCATGCTATCTTTTTGGATTTTTGTAAATATTAATTGAATAGGGTAGGGACTTGCCCAGTGCCAAATGCTTCGAGTAAATTCTATGATAACTGTCGGGTAAGGGCTGGATTAGTGGGGTAGGAGTGGTGGGGAGGGAGTGAATCCAGTCTCAGAAGGAAACAGTCATTGTGACCTTACATGATTTATAGATGACAACTAACTCAAGGCATGTAGGAATACAACCCATCTTTTCCTATCGTCATATTGAGCCTTATTCTTGCCACACCACTGGGAAAGTCAAGTAATGGGCTAACTACACCAGGAAGATTTGATAGTTAGTCCCCCAGTCCCTTTTTTTATTAATCTCTTGAAAGGGATTTTCTTAGAATGAAATTTCCAGTTATGAATGTAACGACCACACCTTAATATGTCTGTGGATCATTGAATTGAAAACATGATATTCTTCCCTCAGACCATAAGGAAAACTCCCTGAGTTCACTAGGGAAGCTTCATTCTGTCCTGACCCCATTTGCCAGCTTTTCCTCACACAGAAATGTTTGCTAGGATAAATATAAATATTCAATGGCCCGGTACCTTCCCAATCAAAGAAACATATCATGTAAAGAAATGCAGTGTCAGTGCATGATGGCGTGTCTACTGCTGTATTCAGCTATCTAAATGGATGTGTAGTAGAGTCTTCATTTAGGGTACGTTCGTAATTTTTCATAAGTAAAGCCTATTCATGGAATTCGCTTAGCTGACTTTTCCCATTTATGTAATAATGTCAAACTTGAGAAAGCAGAGGACTTATACTTCACGCTATGCCATGTTCAAAAGAGCTGTTGTTGCTATTGTGAGGTGCCATCGAGGCAGCTCCGACCCATAGCGACTCCATGCACAACAGATCGGAACTCTGCATGGCTCGGGTACAACAGTGGAGTGGACATGAAGTATTTGCATATTGAACTTTAGCACGGCAATTACTATGGATCATATTACTAAGAGTGGTTCCTGTGGTAAATGTAGGCCATTCACAACTTCCAAAGGCGTAATCACTTTGTCTCTGCTTTCAGTTAAATACACAATAGTGTAAGTCCGAAGCGCTGACCTCATGATACCCTTGCATAATGTTCTTGGTGTTGCTGATATCGTGCTTTTGCAGGATGGATCGCATCAAGGCCAGGCAACAGAAATACAAAAAAGGTAAAGAAAGAATGCTGAGCTTGACCCAGGAGTCAGGGGAAGCCCAGGATGCTCATAAGCTCTCTGAAGAGGATGACGAAAGTACGTCCAACCCCTGTTTCTACCTAATGTCCTCTTGCCAGTGAATATACAGCATGCTTCCAGTGGGCAGGGTGATCAGACCAGGTTTCTCTTCTGCCAAGGCCAGCAATGTACTTTTAACTTGTCAGTCATCTTTGCTTTTTTCCCATAGTGAATGGGATAAGTTTATCTGTCTTCTAAAGTATCATTTAACAAGAGTCAGAGGCTTTAAGAGCATCTAGTTTTCAGCAATGCAGTTTTAGCATGCCTATAATCTAATTGTTCATCATGGGAATTAGCATGTTTTTGCATAATTTATTCCTCTAAGGAAAGTATTTCACTTGTATAGACTACTGTTGTCCTTTATAAATTTTATAAAAAAATAAATGTATATCCCTATTTTATGTGGAATCTAGATACTGGTAATTAAAAGATCATTACTGATAGTCTGTTCTAATGAAACCTAACATGAATACATATGTATTATACCTAATTATATGTTTATTATGTAAAATAAAAGTTTAATAGGTCTTTTCATAGATGTTTGCATGCTTTTCTATTTGAAGGGAATGGAGAAATAATGCATGATGCTCAATCAGTACATACATTGTATCAACCAATCACCAGTGAATTTATGTTTCCTAACCATGAATTAAAGTGGTCATAGGCAAATTTTCTGGTTATTGGAATACATGCATTTTAGTAAATCAGTTGTCACTTAATTGCTCTGTCAAATTTGGGTGGGGAGTGATTCTTTTCCATTAATTCAATAGAAAATTTACCATGAGGTGCACTTTTGGGGGGCAGTCCCTTCTTTTTTAACTTCCTTTATGCACACTCAGTTGCTAAGATGAAAATGGAATTATGGCATCCCGTTTAGTAGCAATTATTATTTGCCATGGGAATTCATCATGAATATGAGCCTACCTTACAGATTTTATAGTTCTTGTGCCTTTCCCTGACCTCTAATGCACTTGTACAACTGGTCTAGACTTGACGATTGAATTGATAGAGCGTGGTTTTCAAAGTTTGTTTTCTCACGTTATAAGAATTAATATTTGGACATATTTCATTTTAGGAGAAGCAGACAAACAGAAAGCCAAGGGCAAAAAAAAGCAGTGGTGGCGGCCTTGGGTTGATCATGCTTCCAGTAGGTTTTTGCAATCCTCTTACCATGTCGTCAGCGTTAACCCTTATATCCTTGACCAGAATTCAGGCATCCCCAGGACCGTGTGTTCTGTGCATGGTTTGATCCTTGTGACTTGATAGGGGGTCTGAGTAGGAAAATGCCATGCAAATGGTTCTCTGAGCTCTGTGGACAGATCTGGGCTAAAGGGAGCTACATCCATGGCTTAAGAACGCTGGAGCACAACGTACAGGCTCCTCAAAGGAAAGAGAATTGATCATTTTATTATCAAACTCTGAGGTCTAGAGCGCCACTGATTTGAAATGGGTGTTTGCACCCACTTGGACTCTGATTGGAGGGTAGTTGTTATCTTTCAAAGCATTCATGACCCTCTTTGTAAGGCACTAGGCATGGATGCCAGTGAGCCTCCCCTCTGCTTTCCCGGAGCTTTGGTTTTATTTGCATTTAAGTTTTTTTTGGCATAAAGAACTAGGGATGACTTAAATGCATTAACTTTCTCATATTTTGCCTCCTCACCAATTTCCAAAGGCTCTAAAAGCTGCACTCAGCCTTCCGGTGCCTGGCATGTGCCATTTGCTGCCCAGTCATCACGAATGAAAAGTTGAACCTAGGAATCTCTTTGCAAAGCAGAGCTTGATCGCCACATCACATGTAGTAGGCTTCCCTTGTAATCATAAAGTTTAACAAGGATTTGGTGCTATGTTTGTTATTCTGGGCCAAGGAAATATCTCACATGGCTGAGCAATGATATTGTAGAACAATGGCCTGTTTCAATCTAGTCTTTCTTAAAATTTTAGAATGCTGAAAAATAATTATTTTGTGACTGACTTGTAATATCTTCAATTTTTTATATCCCATGTCTCCATAACTAGCTATCCTACTCAGGTGGGGTATCCCCAGAGCCTATAATGTCACATGTGGATAGCTCTGCTAATACAGTATTGAGAATTATTTTAAAGCAAATGTATCAGAAAGTTGCCCTATGTCTTCTTCTTAGCGCCACACAGATCTGATGTTGGCCTCTCTTACCCAGTCAATAATTTTCTTAGATCAGCAAGCTAATTTAATGAAGCAACATTTGAAATCTGTTCACTATATTTATTTCCAAATATTTAATTTTAGCATTATGTTCAAATGAATTCTTGAGCTGTAAATGAAACTAGTTTCATTTATTTTATGCCTTTCACCAGAGGAAAATTCAAGTTGAAATTCTGTGTGACTCTCATATTCATTGTTCATTAACTTCTTAGTTATGTGAACAGCTTAATAACATAGCATACCATAGGCTGATTTCTATCAAGTCACAAGTAAACTGTGCCTCTCTTTCTGTTTTAAAGGGCCATTTGCCCATTTGGAGAGACCTATCCTTGTCAAGGTTTTCTCATATTGAATGGTTTGTTATTGCACCTGAGGGAAAATCCCATCTCAGTTGTGGTTGGCTTCCTTTTTCTCATGTAATCATTGCGTTTTGGAAGGAATTGGATATGGTCTTTGATAATCCTCTTACACGTGGGTAATAATTTAAAGAACGACTAGTGACAGTTATTGACCTAAATTTTCTGCTTCATTTCACCCTCATTATAACACGCTCTTGGAAACGAATATTAAACTAGATGTGCCTTGTTACAGTACCGGATGGTGCAATAATGCAGGAATGTGTGTAGTTCATGGTTTGGAATCCAATTATGAAGGCAGTGTGAAAATAGTTCTAGCAAATGTCCTTTCTTCTATGAGCTTGTGGGGAAAGAAGAGATGACTTGTTGTTGAGAGCATGGTGGGCACCATAACTTCTTCTCAGCTCTAGAAGTACTACTGTTTATAAAGTCCCTTTTCTGATCTGTTGAGTTTAAGCTTTCAAGTAGTTTTTTTCAAGAACTATTAAATATAAAAATAAGTGCAGTTCAAATATCCATGTGTAAATCTCTTGACAATATAAGCATATTTTATATCAAAGCAATGACGATCTTAAGACAGTCTTACTACAGTGACACACCTTCTATTCCATTCCTAAGTATACACATATGATTGCATTATTGTTGTTCAATTATACCTTTCGTCACAGTGCTGTCTGTCTCTCGAGAGATTCAGTATTCCGAAAACCAATGCCATGCCTCAACTTGGTGTGAAATATAGGGCCACATTTCTGGGGCTACAAATGAGAGGGTTTCAAAAAGTAATTTATGCTCGTTAGTTCAGCAATCGCACTGATACACGTAACATATATACAACTAGGGTGTCTCTTCAGTTGCAAATGTATATGTAATAGCTTTTCTTTTCATTATTATAGATAGCCCTACAGAAAATATTCTTTAATATTTTCCTAGTTTTATTTCAGGAGCATGTTATAAAGAAACACTTTCTCTTTGGCTGTGTGTTAATTCTCCTTATTCACATACAAATTGGTGACTTTTTTTAATGATAAATCACTGATTTGACTGAGATCAAAACTGCTAGAGCTCAATGTGTTGCTATGACTACAAGTGATAGAAGGTATGATTGAATACTATTTAAGCTGATGTCGATTTTAGAGCATATAATGAGGGTAAAATGTTCACTTTTATGCTCTGTGTTCTTCCCCAAACGACCACATGACCAAGGTCTATGTAACCTTCCTGCACATCTCTCAGCTTACACAAGGCATTACTTTCATGGTCTTCCTCACTGTCAAATGTAATGCTGTGACTTTGGTTTGTTCTGCTTATTCTTACCTTCTGTTGTATTGCACTTATTTCCTCAGGCTTGGGCCCATCACTGTGAGCCTGGTTCTTTCTTCAAAATAAAAATCACAAATCATAATGCTTCTGTTCAAGGATATAAGGTCCAATTCATTCACTCTGCATCTTCATGAATGGAGGCTTCCGATTCACCTGCAATCATGGACAAAAGCATTTTGCTTTGGACCATGTTGACTAACATCCAAGCAGCTAATTGTAAACAAGACAAGGTTTCCCATTACCTTACACCGTCTACGTCCAAAGATAATTTAAGACATCATGTTATGTCATCTAAAAAGGTCTCAGCATTTGAAAACCTGGAGATAATTTGAAATTATTGCTGTTTTCCTGCAATGATGGTGCAGTTATTGTAGCATCAGAAATGTATATACTTGATCTCCTTTCTTTGATAAGTTTAAAATAATTATCAAAATGATAACTGATTTCTCAAGTTTCTTTAAATCTGGGGACATTGCATCTCTCCCTGCTCCAAACACTTACACAAGCCATGTATTATCATAAGAAAATCTCAAACAAGACAGAATCAGTCCACACTTTTGTGCTGTGTGTCCTATGGCTACAGTAGTTCTCCTCCCCTGGAAATAAGCTGCGGTGGTGTAGTCATTAAGTACTCAGCTACTAGCCAAAAGGTTGGTGGTTCAAATCCACCAGCTGCTCCTTGGGAGCAATATGTGACATGCTGCTTCTGAAAAGATTACAGCCCTGGAACCCTCTGAGGCAGATCTGCTCTGTCCTATACGGTCAATAGGAGTTGAAAAAAATTCAACAGCATTGTGGTTTGTCCGTTGTTTGCTTGTTTGTTTTCCTAAATGGGGTGTCCTTCATTGGCCAGAAGACAAATGGTGCTAACCCTGTGGACAAATCTGCCATGTCTCAATTTGTTCTAATGTGTCAACATTGACAGTATGACGATGGTGGTATTCTTAGTGTATTTTGTTGTTGTTGTCATTTTAATGTTAGCTCCCTACTTTCTGCTCGTGGCAACATATATATTTTTTACAACCTCTTCCAATGTGTTGATACCAATGTTAGTCCCCAGAATTATATGTGGAGATGCTTTGTCTTCATAGTATAAAGTGAAGTAAGAGCTTGGTGACACCAGTTCTTGGACCCCAATCATCGTGATTGGCCTTCATAACCTACTGAGAACAAAGACAAATGTTCCACCTCACTTTGGCCTGGTCTAAAGGGCCCAAAATGCTGACCTGTGAAATCATCATTTCAGTTACTTTGCCGTCTTGCGAACTAAACCGGCTGTTGCAAAGTTGATCTGCTTCATCTGTCAGCTTTACAAAGAAGACGGGAAGAGGGCTGTCCCACCTAGTTCATTTACATGACATAGACAAGGCCTTGCACTTGGTGGATGAAAGCATACTAACACCCTGTAGCATTAGCTTGAAACACATCTGCTCATCTCTCGTCCTTCCTCATTACCCACACCCCTTGCTATGGTTCTCTTAGGAATAGTGTGGTTATCTTTTGGGGTCATTTCATTGCTGAGCCCCCAATGATCACATGTCTCTTTCAAGAAATGAGTAAATATTTGTTTTCTTTAGTGGTCAGAAGTGGAGATTATTATTTGTTTGAAACCGATAGTGAAGAGGAGGAAGAGGAAGATTTTAAGAGAGAAGAGGAAGAACTTCCAAGAAAGTCAGCTTTCCAGGTAATTTGGGGACTCGGGGAACTTGGATTTTTCCATTTGACACTGTTGATCTCGAGCTCAGTTGTGGGGCTGCTTGCTGTCAACATTGGCACGACGTGCCTTGCCCAAGACATGGGTCAGTTTAGTCTCCATTCACGTGGGCCAACACATTTTCTGATACCCCCCCCCCCAACAGTTTTATTGGCACGTAATTTGCACATCCTATAACTGACAATTCAATTTTTCAATTGTGTTGATTCCTTAAACAGAAAACAGGACTGCCTCGGGTGAACTTTATTTTCTCATACGAGGAAGGAGGCAGTGAAATAGACTTGTTTTTTGTCTGGCATTGCTTTGGATGGCTTACGTGGGCTTGTGTTTTCATATGCGACAACATAGTTTTTATTTTTAGTATCATTTAAATGTTAGTTAATATTTGACAACTAGTTTCACTTGATTCCTAACGGGTTTTAGAACATACTTCAGTGTAAAGGTATCTGGCACCATTCTCATTGTTCCAGTTCAACTGCCATTCTTTTTCAAAACCTGCTGTATCTTTCTTAGCCATGGCCCACACCAGCCTCGTCTGGTGTGTCCCCTGCATGTACAATCAGTGCAGGTCAAAGATACGGTTTTGTTTTTAGAGTTCCACCTAGGATGAAAATGTGTTTTGACCAACCAGACATGCTAGGACTGTGATTTCCCATCAATCAGACACACTAGGGATGTGATTTCCCATAAGCGCTCTTGTCCCATAAATGACAAAGCACACAAATAACACCCATACAAGTCACATGATGTGAGAACTGGCAGTCCCATGAGTCCATACTAACTGAGGTCATTGTCAGGATGATGACCAAGTCTTCCCAAATGGACTGGTTACAACTACCCAGGCCTTCCCAAGTTCTCATGGAGACATCTTGCTCTACTAACTGGTTACAGCTGCCCATGTCTTCCCAAAATCTCAGGGTGGTAACGTTCTCTACTGCTTTCTACTGGCCACATTGCTATCTATGTGCATTTCTTGATGAGCCCGTTTGTGTGCATGTGTGCTGCTAACTTGTCTAATAATAATGACTGACTTATTTGTTTTTATTCTAATGACATATATTTCTAACCATTATTCATCATGCAGCAAAGGAAAGAACGTGAACATTGCCAGCTTTTGTTATGGATTACATGCAATGATTGGATATTTTACTTATTCCTAACTTAAAAACAGTGCACACTTTATCCTAGCCTCAAGGATTGGCACATTTTAATCTAATTGATGTAATTGTAGAGATAAACTCATATTCATATATTAAATTATTAGCTTTTGGTTTTTTTTTCTACTAATTATTCTTGCTTTGTCCTTCTTTGTAGAGAGCTATTGGGAAGTTTGCATCAGCCATTTTAGCCTTGCCCAAGTCTGTCATTAAACTTCCCAAAACTATTCTTCAGTATTTAATCAGAGCTGCAAAGGTATTTGATGTTTTCCTGATGTGTAGTGTGTGACTCTCAGCCCCATAGAACTTTAGGCAAACATATCCCTGTTGCCCTCCATCTGCATTTTCCCTGTTCTATAGACTACACAATTAAGGAATTACAAGAACTTTTTTAATTAGCCAAACCTCTCAAAAGGAATTCTTAAAAGCTTCAGTTCTCTGACTCTTGTTTTACAGTTGATGCCAACACTATCAAAACATAGGCAGAGGAAATGCAGATGCCACATGCTCTCCATCCTTCCATAGTTTCGCCTGTATCACATCTTCTTTCTCAAGGGTCACATCTGGTTGCATGCATCAGTTTTAATGAGTTAAAGTAAAATAAATTCTCTCAGAGAGCTGGTACAATTGTGGATGCGCGAATAAAAGTCTCATGTTACTCCATCTCCCGTTTGGCCTCCATTTAGTCTCTATCTTTCTAAATTAGGCCTCCTGTTCACCATTCTGCATTCAGTAGAGTTCATGCAAAGTGGCTCACTTTCTTTTGACAGTCTGCTTATCCCCTAATTCCCATGTAATCAGTGCTGCTCTTTTGAGTGAACTGTTTAGATTATTTGGTGGTTAATGTAAGGCACAATCGATGTTCAAACGACCTGTTCGATCCATTATTGGAAATCATCGATACTCAGTTACAGTTCTTGTGGAGGAGTCATGGTGGCACAGGGAGCAAAGCACTCAACTGTGAGCCTCCTGGTTGGGGGTTCAGATCCACCACGCTTGCATTTTATATGAAGCCGTTCTCTCACGACACAGTCTGGGACTTCAACATTTCTGTCCTCAGGCTCCTCAGGAGGTGGACAAATGGTTAAGACAGTGACCTCGACCAATGTTCCCTGGTAATTTTGTTTAAATGCAAGCCCCAACTCGCCGCATCGAATTGGGGCCTGAAAGCTGGCATTTCTGTCGACCTCCCCAGCAAGACTTCTGACCCTCAGTTGAGTAGCAGAGTTAAGACCTTGAGTCCCCATCATTTTCAAAATGCCAGGAGTTCAACACCAAACTATTTTTTTTTTGAAATTTTTTTTAATCAATTTATTGGGGCTCATACAATTCATCACAATACATAGATCAATTGTGTAAAGCACATCTATACATTTGTTGCCCTCATTATTCCCAAAATTTGCTTGCCTCTTGGGTTCCCGGAATCCACTCATATTCCTTTTTTTCCCCCCCCTCCCCTTCCCTTCCTCTTCCCCTTTCCCCCATGCACCCTTAATAATTTATAAATTATTATTATATCTTATATTACACTGTCCGGCGTCTCCCTTTACCCACCCCGCTGCTGCCCGTCCCCCAGAGAGGAGGTTATATGTGGCTCCCTGTGATCCATTCCCCCTTATTACATCCCCTTTCCCTCCTGGTATCGCCACTGTCACCCCTGGTCCTGAGAGGTTCTTCTGTCCTAGATTCCCTGCGTTTCCAATTCCCATCTGTACCACTGTGCATCATCTGGTCTAACCAGGTCTGCAAGGCAACAACACCTAACTATTAACACCCACTGCTGCTTCCTCTCTGCAACTCCTCTCTTTCCTCATTTATGACCTTAGTCTTTCAATTCATATTTAAGGAGGTTTAAATTAAATATTACAAGGAAACTATTCTCTGCCGTTAAAACAAATCATTTTAGATGCAACATAGAGAAGGTCTAGGACAGCTGATAAGATCCAATCCACTTCAGTGAACGAGATTGTCTACAATCAAACTCTCCATTATTTTAAAGGATAAAAGTATTTGTACGAAGCAAATTTTCAGTACGATGAATCTCATTTCCCCCCTAACAAATTATAAACTATAAAGTCAATCACTGCAACCCATGTCAGGCCTGTGGCAGTGGAGGGGAAAAAATGTAGAGCATCCAAAAGCTGGTTACATACACACCATGGTCTTTCTAGTTCTTGCTGCTGGTGCCTGTGCTGACTCCTCAGTTTGGATAGTTTTCATAGCTACAAAATAAAAATTGAGAAGTTTCCCTAAGAAGATTCTCTTTCTTTATTCAGTATGAATTTCCTGTTATTCTTTATCAATGTTTTCCTATAAGACACTGAAGGCAATTGAACCTTTAGTAGTTTCTGGAACTGAAAAATATTTGCATTTCAAACCTCATCATTAAGAGCCTATCCCTGCTAATAAGGAGTGGTGTGGTTTCCTCTCCTCCCTGCTTCCCCTCTTAGCTGATTCTCATCCCAATGAGAAAGCAAGGGTAGGTGCCATACTTCAAGATGTTATGCAGAACAAGGAGTTCCTGTTCAGCTGCTAACTGAAAGGTTAGAGGCCCAAGATAGCTAAGAGGTTCCTTAAAGGAAAGGCCAGATGATCTACTTTTTAAAACTCAGACATGAAAAACCCTGGCGCACAAGTAGTCACCAAGAATCTGAATCCTCGGCATAGCCACTGGTTACTGGTTTATGTGGAACCAGTTCTCTTCGACACTGCCCTTCGCTTGGTGACTTCTCCAATCTACCCTTAACCCCTCCTCTCTCTTCCTTTCTTCCTCTCAGTTGTTTCCATCTTCTCCATTTCAAAAGAATTCCTCCAACTTGTGTGCCTTGGTTACATCTTTATTTCCTATATTTGGGATGTTTGTATTTTCTAAAATCAATATAGTATATTTTTTAAAGGAGAGATCATTCTGTGTTACTGTTTGCATGAAAATGTCTTAATAGTGTGAGTTCTTTTAAAAGAGCCTATAATGCGAGTTCACATATTAATATGCTACAAACTATGAATATACACACAGTATCAATATACTAAACCTTAGAGATATTTTAGTAGAATTTCCTCTTCATATGCATAATAAAATCTACCATAATTTCCTCTACTCTGCCCTATCCTTTAAGTTCCAGTTTATCTGGCATTTTTAAGCATAGGATAATATTTTTACCTCCTGGATTTTGTTATTTGGAAATAATAGTTATCACATTTGGGTTAGTTGCCCCAAGAGTTAAGATTTCTATCAGTGAGAGACACAAATGCTCTTTCTTACTTAACCCACCACCTTTATATTTCCATCAATGGAAAATTGAATCCTTCCTTATTTTCTATTGTCATCGCAATGCCAATCATTTGCTTATGATGTGTTTCTCAAAGACTTTAAAAATCTGAAGCTAATGTAGAATAAAACAAAATTGCCTGTGTTCACAAGAGTCCCAACTGAACATTTCTATAACTATGCCATCATAATGGAAAGCCCAGCTTCTCTGAGATGCAGGTGTGTCTGGTGCATGAGGGGCATGCCTGCTTGCTTGATGACTAGGTGGCTGGTTACCACAGTTTTCTTCCTGTTCTTTCTGCATGACTTGGGAGACTGCTAATGGGGGACTGTTCAAAATTGTTTTCCTGTCATTATTGGCTACTATATAATATTAACTGCAACTATTTTCAGATTTGGAAAGAAAATGACAAAAGGCAACCCAAAGGACCACAGTTGTCCTTCCGTCCTATTCTGGAATAACTCCTTAACCCTTTCAGCGACCAGTGCTCAGTTCTTGATGTTGTTGGAAGAAAACATTAAAAATGTCTTGTTTTTTTCTCTTTGAACACTAACCTGCAGTCCTTTCTCAAGTGGTTCTTAGTACTCAGCTGTTATTCACAAAGGAGAGTGTCAAATATGCAAATTATACAATACAAATAAGACTGTCAGCAATGTTTTGATAATTTATCAGAGTTTTATTTTTGATGGAAGGGAATTTCTCTAATAATACTTAGTGATGGTTCTGACATATTCCTATTATTTTATGCAAATGAATCCATAGCTAATTATCACACATAATGGCAGTATTGGAGCTATATAGTTTTACTTACACTTTATCTCATGGTTGCCTCTGGTACTTAACAAATAAAATCTAGTCCCCAAACATCTACTTTTATGTTTTATTTCATGATAATGAAATTAGCAAACATTAACTCAATATTCCAAGGTGGGAGAAGAATATTTAGTTTTTGTCAGGAGATAAAATTATTTCCAAACGTCAGGAATATTGTCCTTGTGTGTTTTCAGGTATGGTCCATTTTTCTTTTCAACTAAAATTGTTTCAAAGTCCGACAATAACTCAATGTGCTCCCTCTAGTTTGTTTATCAAGCCTGGATAACTGATCCTAAAACAGCCCTCCGACAGAGACGCAAGGAGAAAAAAAGATCTGCCCGAGAACAGAAGCGACAGCGGAAGGGATCTGGGGAGGGTGAGTCTGACTGACCTGCAGCATTCCTGCCCTTTGCCCCAATCTTCTGTAGCCCTCAATGAAATTGCTCGGTGGGAATGAAATAAATTCTAGAAATCTGAAGAGAATAAAGAATGTGCCCTAAACTCTTCATGTCTAACCCTTGGAATAAAATCAAACATGAATTTAGGTTAAGATAAATATTATAGTACAGGGAAGGAAAAACAATGTAGGACAAACCTAACAAGAAGATAAAGAGAAAATTGAAATTGAGAGTTAGAAAATTAGTTTTTAAAAATAAATACAAGGTAAACTGAAAGCAATTCTTAGACTAAAACAATAAAAATAAAAATACAAGGTAAACTAAAAGCTATTCTTTGACTAAAACAATTTTTTTAAATGCAGCTTGATTAAGAAAATGCACTCAGATAGCACTCAGGAACAAAAGGTGACACAGGCCTGCAAGCGCAGGAGAGAGGTGGCACATGGCAGAGAGAATACCACATTCGATACATTTAAGAACACACGAATGCTCTCATAAAGGAAAAAGGTGCCAAATTACAACAAACACACACACACACAAATGCAAAATTAAAGTGCAGGTGGCACAGGGAAAAAATGCTTTCATCGTTTAAATCGGAATCGAGGTATATTTTCTGGAACGATAAACCAAAGCCCAGTAGTGTGAGCTGATTCTGACTCAGAGATCTCATAGAAGGAACTCTTAAAAATCACTCGGAGAAAGAGACAACCTAAAAGGCAAAAGGATATGAAAAGAAAATGCACAGGACAGAGAACAGAAATAGTGCTCAGCCTCTCCAGTAATGTAGGAAACAAAAATAAAGTATTTTGTCGTGATTATTTTAACCTATGGAATTGGCCATAGAATCTTTTTGGGAGCTTATGGGAAAATAAGTACTAGCACACATTATTGATTACTAGTGAGGTTGTTCAGTAGCACATCTATTTGAATGTCAGGATGTCATATTCTACTATCAATCAATTTGATTTCTCTAGATATAGCATTGCTTGAAACATTGTTTACACGTGCACAAACACAAGCATACATGTCTAGAGATGCTTATCAACTATTATTTGTTAATAACACAAATTTGGCAGCATTCTTACTGGCACATAAAAAATAAGAGTTAAATTATATCACTAATATCATGTCAATTACTATTCAATTTTAAAATGTGAGAGATTTAAAAATGTGATCGATATTTCTTTGAAATGGCATGAAGAATTGTTAATATACAAGATAAGTCTAAAGTATTGCTATAAAGTCATAGAAAGCTTTATTAAATGAAACTATCCAAGTGTGAAACTTGTTTCTAAGCATATCCTTCACCTTGGTCTGTATATTTCCGGAGGTGATGTTTCCATCTCTCAATGAGAACAAGGAACTACTGTTGTGGTTAACATTTTTTTTAAAAAGGTGTGTGTTATGATTATAGCCTTTCACCATGCTGAATGCTTTTTTTTACTATGCTGAGTAAAAATCTGACAAACTGGACTATATGAAGAACTCATATCAGAATTGGAAGAATGCTAATTCTCAACCCATGGTATGCAGATGACATAACTGCTAGCTGAAAGCAGAGAGGAATTGAAGCCCTTGCGTATGAAGATCCAAATCCACAGCTTTCGATATGGATAGCACCACGTAGTGATGGCTTCTCACACCTAGGCCACTAAACACTATTATGATTAATGGAGGGGGTGACACCTGGGCAATGAATAAGAGAGACTAAAGAAATGTTGATGTCTTTGAAGGATGGTGTTGGTAAACAATACTAAATATACCATCACCGCTAATAGAATGAATAAATCTGGGACTAAATAAAGCCAAAATTTTGCTTTGAAGTGAGGATGGTGAGACTTTGTCTCACATACTTTGGGTAGGTCATCATGGGGAATCAGTCTCTGGAAAAGACCATTATGCTTGTTATCGTAGGAAGTTAGGGAAAAGGTGGGGGAAACAGTCTTCAATGAGATGGGGTTGATACTATGGCTGCAACAACTAGCTCAAACACAGCAACGGTTGTGAGGACGGAGCAGGACCAGACAGTGTTCCATTCTGTGCTACCCAGATCATTTAAGAGTTGAAACCAACTTCATAACAACAACAGCCTAACCTTGATGAATTCCATGCTCTTCGATTTATACCACACCCAACCCACAGTTTTGACATCATCCAGAGATTCGAACCACGCTACTCCTAAATATTATTTTAGTTTGGAGAACCAAAAGAAGAAGGAAGGGGTGAGATCAGGGCTAAAGGGTGGATGGCGTAAGGATTTCCAAGAAAGGTCACATAGGACAACCCTTGCTACCCTTGAAGAATGAACAGATACATTATCATGATTATGTCTCTTTGTGCAACATTGCTGGCTTTTTTTTCTCACGAATAGAGTTTTCAATTTTCTTAAACCTTATTCCTACTAAGCTCCCACAATCATCCTGTATCCTTTAAGAAAACAATCTATCAAGATCACTCCCTTGGGAATCCACAGACGCAGTTGCCATACCATTTGCACGAATCTTTCTGCTTTGGATTTAATTGGCCCAAGAGATCAACTTAGAGGCCATTGCTTTGTTTTGTTTTACAGTTTTATTGGCATATGCTTCCCATATCCATTTTAATTGTTCGAACCTATTAAGAAGATTTGTGCAATTATTACCACAATCAATTTTAGAACATTTTCTTCTCCTAGTCATTGTTGTAATTTCCCCACTTCCCACCCCGTCCTCTCATCCTCCCCAGCCAATTGAACCTTGCTCTCTCGATTGTATTGGTAAACTCAAGACTTGTCCTTTAGAATTCATTCCATAAAATAGTCTTTATTAATTGATCTTCCTAAAAAGACTTATGGGAAGACCAGCTCTTTGGCAATTATCCAGCCAAAAGCTTGTGGAGATGTTCAGTAAGAACTAAAACTGACCAACGATCCCAAAGGCGAACTTCCAGGATAATCTGTGCTCTGCCCCGGTTTCTGGATTGCTGTTACTCTGTCTTCATTTGTCATTGTCGATGGCTTTCCTCTGTCCCTCACCTTGACGTTGCTGCAACCTTCCCTAAAATACTCGCTAGGCGTCGGAAGCTTCTGTTTCTTGTGGGGCAGACAGGAAGTGTTCTCCACTGTGTTACAGGGTTTCGGTGACTTGGAAAGAGGTCACAACTAGGTATTAGTCCGTACCGCAAAATCATTTTTTTTTTCTGTAACACAAAAGTGTCCTTGAGGGCAAAGACAAATTCTGTCACTGAGAGAATGTGTCCGCAGCCATTCATGATCAGAGATGTGTGTAAACACTTGGTTTTGAATAAACTGGGCCTCTATGAACTGTAACCCTAGGGGCAATACTTTTGATGCGCATCGTGGCGAGTGGGCGGAAATCAAGGTAGATATTCAAGCCATTTATGAAATGGAATGAAAGTACCTCAGGATGATGTCTTGGGTTTTTAATAGGTGCATACAACGCAAGAGAAAATAAGGAAGGATATGGAGCCAATTGATAACAGTGATGACCTCTTCGTGTTTAGCGTCTGAGCTTGTTGATCAAAATGTACCTTAAGATTATCCATACATTTTAGTTACAAAGATGAATGGCTTCTTATGAAATTAAAAGTGGATCTAAAAGCCCAAAGAAAATGATTTCTAATGGAGTGCTAATTACCAAACCTCTCTTCTCTTCTTGCCGGTCATTGCTCCTTCCCCTACCATTGACCCCTCTTGGCAACATTAGATTTACTTCATTAGCTTACAATCATAAACTTAATACACATTCCATGTAACCTGTCAAACAATAAGGAAAGAGGGAATCTGCTCCCTCAGCTCCACTCAGACCTCTAAGGTACCACCAACTTCGACAACACGGGATGTTCATTTCCATTTCTCTTTTCAAGGGCAAAGTACATGTCTACACACAGTTTCCTTTGTCTAGTTGCTTTGAAAAATGAGCTCATGCTATGCAAAAACACTTGTTCTTTCATTAACAATGCATCACGAACATTTATCCAATTAAGTATTTATAAAACTATGTAGTTATTTTAATAGATGTAAAATATTCTAAAATATGGATATACATAATTTATTTCACTAGCCCATCACTCATGGATATAAAGGTTGCTTCCAGATTTTTGTTATAACAATGATAAAATAGATGCCCTTAAGCAAATATTAATATAGAGTGGTGTGAATTTAAATGGACAGAGAGCAATCAGGAAAACATGTATTTTCCACTGAGTAGATTATCAAAAGTGGAATTATTGAGTTAAAGAAATGCCTACTTTTATTTTAATGGATACTTTCCCCAAAGGTTTAGTAGTTCATACTCCTATGAGTAAGTCTTCCTGTAGCTTTAAATATAGGATATTACTGGTTTTATCATTTGTCTTTCTGGAAAACGGCAATAACTCTGTTTCCATTTGAGTTTTTCTAATTTATGAAACTGAACATTTTTATTTTCTTGGTAATTATTTCCAATTCTAAGATGCAAATTTTTACATAATTTTTCTATAGTGTTATTCAATTGCATTGTTTCTGTTTTTCTTATTAATTCAGAGGCTACTTAAGTATTAGAATTGGGAATAAGTAGAGGCAGTTTGCTTCTGGAAAGATTGACGATCTCAGGGCATCTCTACCCTGTTCTACATTGTGGCTATGAATCAAAATCGACTCCATGACAGTGGATTTGATTTTTATTTTTTATATATTAGAGAAAGTAAACCTCTTTTCATATGTCTCAAGCACTCTTTTTGAATCTTTTGATTTAGTTATGATAGATGATATCTAAATTTTTTTTTTAATTTTTCTGATAAGAAGCCTAAATTTCTCTTTGTAATTTCTAACTTTCCCTTTTACTTTAAAAAGTCCATCCCCCCAAATATTATGCAAATCTTTTCCTATATTTCCTTTTAGCCTTATTTACATTTGGTTTTTTTATTATGAAAGCTCTAATTCTGTTTGCTTTTAAATAAATGGGAAGTTATGCCATCCCTATGTATTACAGGAGTCTTTTCCTATGGAAATCAGATGCTATTGTTGTCAACCTTAAGCCCTCATTAATTATTAGGTATGTTTCTAGACTCTGTATTCTAGCCCACTCTTCTATAGGCTGCTTCTGGGCCAATGTTACATGCTTATGAGTCCAGTCGTTATAGCATCTATTTCAATGTTTAGTAAGACATACCCTCTCACTGTTATTATTATTTTTAATTGTCTTTGCTTTTCTTACATATTCATTCTTCCAAAAAAAATTTTGACCAGTTCTAAAAATGTGTCCCTTAGCCATCTTGATAATATTTCATTACTTTGTATTATATGGAGATGCACCAATGTTTTCCTATAAATCAAAGACAATGCTCAGCAATGACTTTAAAGTATTGGGACCTGAAATAAATGTTTGTACCTTCTTGGTCCAAACAGTCTCTCTTCTATGGCTCTTACAGACAAAGGAAACACATAGATTCTGCCCTTATGAAATGCTAAGTGCAAGAAGTGTTATAGATGTTATATATATTAACTCATTTAATTTCCATAGCAGCTCCAGGGTGTTTTATTACTCTTACTGTACAGATGAGGCTAGGAGTCCCAGTGAATCAAGCTCACACAGTCATTAAAGCAAATGAATTGTGGAACTAGAATTCATCCAGACAGCCTAATTCTAAAGCCTTTCTTAATGATAAAGTTAAGAAACATGAGTGTAGATAAAATACTGTGAGGCTAGAGGAAGAAATCAGTCTCTAGGGAGGTTTGGTGGAAAAGAGAATATGAGCCTTAGGAGCCCTAGTGGCACAGCAGTTAAAGCGTTCACTTGTTAACAAAAGTCTACCATTTCGGCCCATCAACTGCTCTGCAGGAGAAACATGTGGACTCGCATAAAGATTCACGACTGTGGAAACCTATGCGGCAGTTTTACCCTGCCCTGTAGGGTCACTGGGAAGTCAGTATTGACTCACTGGCAGTGAGTGATAGGATTGCTACGAAGTGGAATCGACTGGGCAGCAGTGGGTTTGGATTTGGGGTGTTTTTTTTTTGTAGAAGAAAGCAGGGTCACACATAAATGAATAGAAGGTGAGTTTAGCTGTTCAACACGAGATGTGAAACAGAGAACTAAACAGGAAGCGAAGAGATTACAAAATAAATTTGCAGAGATTAATCTATTGGAATCAGATAATGGGTGACATTTGGGCAGGGTTACCATACAACATGCAATGCACTTGATTACATTGGATTTTGGATAAACAGTAGATAATCCTTTAACTGAAGTATAATTTAAATATATTTGCTAAATTTGGCATCCTCTTTTTATTTGCTAAATTTGGCATCCTTAGTCTTAAATAAGAGAATAGAAAACAAAATGAAATCCGATGATGCCATATTAGGGAGTGAGGAACTACAATGTATACACTCTACCAAGATACCCAGAATCTAAATGCCATGGTATTTATCAAGGCCCACATTTTAGGAAATATTTTAAACTTTGCAGACCATAGAATCTCTGTTGCAATGACTCAACTGGGATACGAGGCAAGAGCAATATGTAATGTGTCAGTTAAATGTTATCTGTAGACATTAAAATTTCAATTTCACATCATTTTCTTGTGCACAGCACATTATTATCTTTAGATTTTTATCAGCTATTTAAAAATGCAGAACCATTGTGAACTAAAACCAGGCAGCAGACTGTATTTGACCCTGGAGCTATAGCCACTGGCTCCTGATAGATATTCTGGAAGGAAGTAAAGGAACATCTGAAAGATAGGAATTCTTAAAACTTTACCTCAGGAAATCTTAGGACAGGTAGCATTCCCTGTACTTCATTACAAAATTTCTTTTTAATCTGAAAGAGCTGTGTTGGCATGAGGTTTAACAGCAAAGAACTTTGATTATCCTTAATTGACTGCTCCTTGGCAGGTCCAGTGGAATGGGAAGGCCGAGAGGATGAACCAGTCAAGAAGAAATCTGATGGACCAGGTAAAGAAATCAAAGACAAGCACAGATTATTGGAAACTTAAAAGGGCATATACCCAGATGGCATCTATGTAAAGCTGCCCAAGACATCATTTATCAATACCATTTGTGGAATATGACAAAATGATAGGCGTGGAGTCCTCTATACTAACATTGCTACGTGACTGCTAACAGTAAACCTGGATTCCATGTCGTTGGATTAAATCTTGGCTTCTAGTTGGTTTATAAATTTCTCCTTGTGCCTCGAAAGAGGATTTTAGGGAGCAGATTCTAGATGTACCACGGAAGCTATCAGAATAGGGACACGATTTATTTTAAGGAGGTAAATGAGAGGTAAGTTGAGTTAACGAAAGGGGAAGAATCCAGAGGGGCTTAAACCAGCCTGCTTATATTTAGAAGCAAGACCTGCCTCAGCTTTTGTGACTTGCTCACATTCCACAACTACTAGTGACAGAGCCCGTGAAGAAGCTGTGTCTTCTGATTTCCATTCCAGTGCCATTTAGGCTCCGTATTCACATAGTGGGTGATGGGTCAGGATACTCCTTGTGGGGGACCGGGGGCGGGGGGTGGGGGGCGCTGTTAAAGCAAAATCCTCCCAATCAAATGAAGCCAGATGTCTCTAGATCCATACGCATCCCATTGCCTCTTTCTCATCATTCCAAGAACTCTTTTGCACAATATTTGCAAGTGGACAAAATGTTCAGGTGTGTGTGTTTCCATGATGCTGCAAATGATGCCACTCGCCTTTCAAATACCACCAGGGTCCCCCCTAGTGGAGAAGTTTTAGCAGAGTGCCCTGGTTAAGTCTGACTAGGAAGCAGGACCTGGCAATCTACGTCTAAAATATATAGGCCAATCAAAACCTTACATGTGGACATGCTCTAACATTGAAACAGTGTACGCATTGAGTTCTGCACAAAGTAGTTTTTAAGGCACTTTGATTGAAAGCTAAATTCAGTGGGAAGCATCAGAGTATCCTGCTTAATTAGAATCATTCCCAGTGATAATCATTACTTTAGAAAATAAGCCTGTGTGTGCAAAAAGCATTTAAGAGTACTGTTAGCTGGAGAGATACAGCTCTTTCTATCCCTGTACTAATGACAAATATCTTTGAATGTAATTTTTACCTTTAGTCAAAAATTATCTCTATATAAACCAACGTTCCCTGATAGTATAATCAAGGGTTAAAATCATACCCCTAGTTTGTGTTCGGCTTTATGATTGTCTCTGTAGAAAGACCCAAGGGAGCTCCCAGGGCTCCAGCATTCCCAGTCACCACCTTAGAATGTGAGGAGCCCCCTGAGTAAGGAAGCAGTGTAAGGCCCAGAACAGATAGGGCAAGATAAGACAAAATAATAATTTATAAATTATCAAGAGTTCATGAGGGAGGAGGGAGCAGGGAGGGAGGGGAAAAAATGAGGACCTGATGTCAGGGGCTAAGTGGAGAACAAGTGTTTTGAGAATGATCAGAGCAATGAATGTACAAATGGGCTTTACACAATTGATGTATGTGTGGATTGTGATAAGAGTTTTATGAGCCCCTAATAAAACTATTAAAAAAAAGGCCCAGAAGAAAAATGTTGGCAGTGTCCTACTCCTTTGACATGTGGTTGCTTCTTTCCTCCCAGATAACATAATCAAGAGGATATTTAATATTTTGAAATTTACCTGGGTCCTGTTTCTGGCAACAGTGGATAGTTTCACGACTTGGCTTAACTCCATTTCAAGGGAACATATTGATATTTCCACAGTTTTGAGAATTGAAAGATGCATGCTGACCAGAGAAATTAAAAAGGTAACACTTTTAGTGTGATTCTTTTTGCTTCTTCCCAATTTATAAAGACCGTAAAAGTCGATATCCCGAGCTCTAAGAAAGAAAAATATTTTCTTTCCAGGCTGACTTTTTTGCTGTTTGGTGCATTTAAATATATCCCATATTAAGGATTAACTTAATCAAATCCCTGCTCCTCTTCTTCATTCTTACTTCCTCCAGTGCTTCATACATGTCTGTATGCTTAGTCTGGGACATCTGACCAGAGAATTCTCATAGGAGAAACCGGGATATGTGTAGTCCTTTAATGTTTTAAAGATTCTATTAAAAAATAAAAGTGCACTAATAGGACTGCTTCTGTGATTTTACAAAAACATTAATATAGAAGACGTGATTTCTTGTTTAGAATGATTTAGTCCAGAGGAGGAAGGCCTGACAGTTCACTTCTGTAAAGACTTAGAACTTTGGAAGCCCGATGGAGCAGTCAGCTCGGTCCCATAGGTTCTCTGTGAATCGGAATCAGCTGAACGGCGATGCTCTTGTTTGTCCATGATTAAATGAGTTGACATCAGTTCCCAATGTGCCTAGCTTTGTTAGCCCATTCCTCAAGCTGTGTGGGCAGAGAGCTGTGGGAAATCCTGAAGGAGATCTGGGGGCACCAGGTGGTTGTGGGCGTTCCTGCTTGCCTAATGCCTCATTTCCCGCCTCTCCAGGGCAATGTTCCGACTCGGGAGAGCATCCACATGTACTACCAGAACCACATCATGAAGCTCTCGCGGGAGTCTGGCCTGGACACCATCGATGAACCCTCTGGCGGCGCTTCTGGGTTGCAGGCAGCCCAAAGGATGGACAGTCTAGAATCACATGACAGTATCTCTAGGTATATCCCTTCTGAACAGTAGTTTTGTGTTTTATAAAGGTGAAAGAATAAAAGCAATGTATGCATTGTACATTAATGAAAAATGCACATGGCTCCCCCTAAATGAAACCATCTCTGTATGTAAAACAAGCTAGCATAAGGACTGTCTTCCTATAGGGCTCCTGGTGATATCGTGGTTTTGAGTTGGGCTACTACCCACAGAGTCAGCAGTTCAAAACCACCAGAAAGATGAGGCTTTCTACTCTCAAAGAGTTACAGTCGCAGAAACCCACAGAAGCACTTCGACCCTGTCCTATAGGGTCGCTATGGGTCAGAATCGACTCAATAGCGGTGAGTTTGGTTTGGGTTTTTTAGAGGCAGGATCAGATAAAGCAGATAACAATAGAAATCTCTTTAAAACCCTTGTATGAATCCTCGGCACAGTGTAGAGATTGGAGAATGGCCCGCCCACCACAAAATTGGTATTTGTGCCAGGGGTTGGCTGCATCATCGGTGCTTTTAAAAGTAACAGTTCCACAAACCATCTTCCACATTAAAATCTTCCCCTACTTGCTGCTGTCCCTGGTCTTTTCCTTTAGAATTGTTACTGAACGATACACATAGAAGTTCCTGCGTGGATCTGCCACCTCCATAGGTTACACTTTAAAGAGCCTGATGGGCATGTTTGACCCAGTCACTGGTGTCAGCCATGTGCTGGCATCAGGACCCTCCCTGTGTAACTTCACTGTATCCTGATAATGCTATGGGGTATATCCTAGAATTAGCCATGTTGTATGGAAGACATAGTCTAGCTACAGAGAACGGAAGCAACCTACCAAAAGTCCCACAACAAGGAAGTCTAGAAAAACAGACCCCGGGTGGCACTCTGGTAGAGTAGCATCCACCCCCAAGAAAACTAGTGACGCTCGTGTTTCTCCTCGCCTCTGCCTGCTGACCTGGTGTTTTTGTTTGGTTTTGAACTCTCCGAACTGGTTTTTGTTTTGTTTTGTTGTTTTTATTCCCTACCCCAGAAATACTGACTACTTTGCAACACAGTTTTCAGTTGTACAAGATCAGCTCTAAGCTGAATCAAAAGTCCCTATCTGAAGAAGGAAATTATATTACCTAAGTTGATTAGCTAGGCGCATCTTCATAAGCAGCATTCAGGAGTAGGCACAAAAAGCAGATAATCCCCTTAGTGTGGACCTGTAGGTGGTTTGAGAAGGAATCTGGGACAAGGCTACCGCTGTGAGAGAGATGGTAAAGACGCTCATTCTGGCCGCTGGTGGAGACGTTTTCTAGGTGCTTTACAGTCACATTTACTATCTGAAGCAACGCATGCATGGCTTGGAAAAAAATTTGTTCTTCTCAAATACTAAACATGTTATAACATAAAATAAGGGTGGAAAACCTTATTGATATCAAACTCATGATGCTGCTTTGTATGTATTGGTGAGGAAAGCTATTATATACATAGGTTAAGAACTCAAATTCTAAAACAGTGTGGTTAAAATCCACTTTTGTTTTTGTATTAATTCTTTCAAGAGCCTTTGATGGATAATAAAAATTACGTAATTCCTTTAATTTGAGAATAATTTCCTTTAATTTGCTTATTTATCAGTTTCAAAGAAGCTGATATATTTCAGCTATTACATATTTTTGTGAACTTCAGAAATACTTAAGGCAGGTACTTTTAGAGATTTGGGGTCAAAACATTTATTTCCTATATGAACTGACTTAATTCTTAGAATTAAACAAGATTATACATAGTTCTCAATCATTAATTTTCAAAATAATTAGTAATATCAGAAGGTATGAAGTTTTCTATGAAGTGTTATATCATTTAAGTGATGACTGTTAAAGTCTCTCTTGACAACATCCTACAACCAAACATTTTTGAAAGGGAGCTTAAGTCTTCTCTTTTGACAGGTTTTGTTCAAGTCTAAAGCTATAGGGGGTTTGTATTTTATTTTAATTTTTGTAAATTTTGATAACTCTACTAATCATCTCCAATGTGTTCTTGAGGTAACACCTCTCTATACAAAAAGAAAAAAGGAATTAAAGTGTAATGGAATTTTCCCACAAATTTTGAATCTCCCTCATATCATATCATTATATTTAAACTTAATGATTTCCTCTCTAATTTATTTTAATGCTAAGACCAAAAGTTCATCTTTATCCCCATTCCTCAGGCTGTTACCTATTCCAATTTATTTTATTATGTCAATTCTTCAATACTAAGTGGAGACAGTATGCACATATTTGTAAAATAAAGTGTATGCATTGCCAGAAAATGTAAGAGGGTCAGGACTGGGGGTAATGAATATGCAAGCTGTTACAGGAGTAAATGGATGTAATAATTGGGTCATCTAAACATGTTCAAATCCATCCACTTTATAACCGAGTTATGAATAAACAACTACCGAATTTTTCAAAAATGGGGGAATTGTAGGTTGATAGAAATGCTGATATACCTTAAGTTTTCACTTTTAAAAATCTGTTTCCATCTTACAAAAATTGCCCACAAAATGCCAAGGTTGTCAAGGACCTCATGAATATTATGCATGACTTGGGCTTCAGAAAACTATTTTATAACCAAACTCGGACTCAAACACATCAAAAAGACTATAGAAAGTCTACTGAAAACAAATTTTTCATGATATAAACATCCATAATCCCTATGCTAGTGACTTTTTACCACATAACAATCAACTATATGTATGATTACGAAATTAAGTAATCATAAATTAAGTACCGTACAGCCTGTGAGTAGGGTGGTGGTGGTGTTGGGAAAGGGGGTGGGGAAGGACAGGTACTTAAAAGAAAATCAAGTAACTGCCTCTAAATCTGACCCAACTTACCATCATACAACTTCACCCATAGTCAAAAATCGTGAGGGAGGAGATATTTAAGTGATCAATTAAGGCATAAATTGAGTAGTAGAAAATCAGCATTTCAAACTTCATTTTTGTGTAGTTTACCTATTTCTTCAATTCAAATAAAAGAAACACACAACAGGGTCTGTCCTGTAGTTAACAAATAAGCTTCCTCATGTGCCCTGCTTTTCATGCTCCTAATTTCTCTGTTTCTAGAACCCTTCAAATATCTACTCAATTGCCTAAGCCAGCACCTACTGGAAGCCATCCTGAATTTGGAAATGCAATAATCCTCCCCAAAAAGAGATTCTAAATGTACAAACACCCCCTGAATCACTATTTTTTCCAGATTCACACGAAAAATGACATACTTAAAAAGAAATTTATGATCTCAGATATTACTTTTATTCCCAGGAAATAAATTAGCTTAAATTACTGCAAGAAAAAGTTCAGTTACATCTGAAGGAGAATTATCAGACGTGGATGAGTCATTGTCATTTGAAATACATCACTCTGTCCTTGTGGAGCTCTGTGCTGCAAAAGCCCCGGTGGCTGCAGCCCTGTGTCCCACAGCCCCAGGTGATGTTCTTAGCCACAGGGGTCTGCTCGCTGAGTTTTATTGTAAATCTTCTCCCCCACCTTTCACCTTTCATGCTGTCTGGATGATAATTTGGTTACCCTGAAAAAAACCCCAAATGGTTAAGATGGTGTCGGTTTTAAAGATGGGGTGATGTGACATAGACTTCAATCCACAAATTAAGGGGAACATTGCTCCAGGGTTAGCGCAGTCAGTTCTCACACTGTAAGTGTGCTTTGAGCCGGCAATTTCCTAAAAATATGAGGATCCCTTATTTAATGAATTATGACATTTGAACCCACCAAAGAGGGAGTGATTGATCCAAAGCCTAATAGATGGAAGACTTGGAAGACTCTGCTGAGTCAGTGGTTTCTTGCAATTCATCCTGTTATTTTCTGCTCGTTTGATCCCACCATGCGATGGCACCCAATAGGCCATGTTTCCTCAGTCCATGTCTTTTGTTTTTAAGTAAAGAGCATTTGTAGATGCCCCTTTTCCTCCCCCCCCCCACCCCTCCTCACTATAACCCCCTCTTGGCCACATAGTGGCGCACAGCAGCATGGCTCCACCACTGCCTTCCGTGTTTGGTGCTATTTGACCTTGAGGCTAAAACGCTCTTTAAGTATTTCCATGAAGGAAGACGCAGCATCCCTCCACCCCAACTCTGAAGGGAGAGTACATCCTGGATGGCTTTCTGTCCTCACAGTCTCTCAGACTGACTGCAGCAAGTAGAACAGGTTGGCCACAGAGTGCATGCCAACAATCTGCCATCTCAGCCTATCCTAAGTCCTGAAGGGTGTGCACACCTGTGCCAGCAGACACCAGTGCTTAGGCTGGAAGATACGTCTTCCTGTCTCTCTCCCATAGCTCTGCGGAGCTGATTGCACCTCTTCATATTTCAGCTCTGTGTCTAAACTGTCAGAACTCTTACTTGCTTTTCTCATTTACTCACCTTCCCCAGCAGCACCTCCTTGAACCTGCCGTCATTATCTCCCCCGTAGTTGCCGGATCGATAACAGGAGATGAGGCCTTTAGTCAACAGGCCCAGTCCCCAACATCATCTTCTCAACACACTAAGATGCTCCCGAAGAAAAACGAGCCCAAATGAAAAGTTAACAGACAAAATGAGAACCAGTCCTGCCATGCTAGCGTTTTTTTAATTTTCTTTGTAGCATTTTGGTTTAGTTGTATTTTGATGTTGGTTTATATCAGTTGTATATCAAACCATCATCTCTCTTATGTGTAAGGCATCGAGTCTGGCTTACCTGACTATCCCTTAGGAAACAGGGCGGACCCTTCCTTTTGTCATGGTCATTCCTGAGCTGCTTTCTCTTATTTTGAAGACAGACTTAAAAAGAAAGAAATCTTACATTCAGATCATCACATGAGCAGATATTGCTGCTCAGATAACCTTGTTACAAAATGCTCTTAAATGAGCTCAGGATTGGGAGCTCCAAATAAAGTATATATATTTTCTTTTTTTTTTTTTAATCTTTTTAGAAGATTAGAATGATGTAAATCCTAATGCATAAGAGAAAGTTTGGGACTTGTAATTCTTTTCTTTTTAATTATTTATTTAATTATTGACATTTTATAATTTATCATGAGCTAATATGTGGGTGTGGGGGATTTAACTCAATAATCTTGGGTTTTCTTATCATGCCAAACAGGTCCTCCCTCTCTTCGATGTGATGGTCATGATCATCCGTGTTGGTGTTGTGTGTGGTTTGCTGCATGGCCAGATGTTTGTCAATTAATCCATGTGTGAACTGAATCCATTTAACACTGTGTCTCTGTAATTGTTTGCGCTGCTAGCTGCTACACTGAAGCAACCATGCTGTTCTCAAGGCAGTCCACCCTTGATGATTTAGATGGACCAGAAACCGTTCCTAAAACCAGTGAGCGGGCTCGACCTAGGCTCCGTAAAATGCTCAGCCTGGATGTGTCCTCCTCATCAGCTGACAGTGGCAGTTTAGCATCCAGGTGCTTACGTTGTGCATGCTTTGGTTCATAATATTAACAACCCCCCCCCCACTAGAGTGGCACATACATGTTCTTGTGGTGTCTGTTATTTTTTTTATGATGATTTTAAGAGTTCGCATGCCTACCAAAAGCACAGCAACACCTTTCCTGAGACTTCACAGAGTCCTCAGGAAAGTATGGTATCCAACTAACCGCTTTTTAGTTTTTGTCTGTTAGGAACTTCTTAAAAGCTCTATTACTAATATTGTCCTCCATTTTTAATGATTTCACACTTTCCATTTCCCAGGAAGTAACCATGTTCTCTCTTTAATTAAACCTGACGTAGGCAGTCCTTAAAGGGGAGGTCTGTCAGGAAAGGGAGGACGCTTTTTCTCCTGCTTTTATCAAAAGATACTTGCAGTAGAAATCACTTGCCAGATGCAGTCAGCTTTACTTGATATGAGAAATAACTGGTCCATATTTATGTGCCTAACTAACACAAACATTGGGAAGTATTTTACCATTGGCTTTTAGAAAGAAAATTATGCAGAAGAATACATCACCCTTGTAGAACATAACTTGTTTTTTGGGGGAAACAAGAAATCTCTAAGCAATAAAATTGTGTTCATTCCAAATAATAATTTAGAGATGAAGTTGTTTGCATACAGCCAAAAACACAATGTTAAGTCACCTGAGACTTAGCAGACACGGATGCCCATTCTGCTGCTTCTGACATCAAAATGGCCCAATTCAAAACCAACTCCATTTCGAGTGCTTGTAGTGTCAGATCAGACAGGACCACCTCCTTCTGCCAGTAGCTGCCTGTCTTAATCCAGCGTTTCCACACCCAGTGGCCTGGCATCGGTATGAATGCCTTGTTGTTTGAGACTTCTTCAGCAGGCACGTGCTCTGTTGAGCCCTGAAAACACCCTCAACCGCTCAGAGCTGCATGTGTTCACGCTTGGCTATAATCATACTGTAAATTAGAGATAGCGTGGAGTTGGCTCCAGAGATCTTACAGGGACCTAAATTGATAGGTCAATTTCACAACCGTGCTAGGAGGTTATGTCTAATTGAGTTAAGTTTCAGTAAAACTCCACATTGGTCTGGCATTCCTGGAGCATCTGTGTCATGTGCATATTCAAGGTCAAAAGCCCCGGACTATTTCACATCTGAGTAAGCCAGATTCTTCATTCACAGGATACTGTGAAGGGCTTTGCCACACATGTGTTCATTGACATGTCTACATTGGTATCTGTGACAAGAGAAATGCATGCAACAGTACCCTTGAGAGCCTTCAAACTTTATAACCTCTATCTGATCATATATGCTACTCTTGTGGCATTCGTTATATGCCACCATTGTGTCATATGATGTCTGTAAGAGCCTAACAGGCTACAGGCCCACATCCACCAGATTCCAAGTCTCCTGATCAGTTTTGATCCCCCTCCTTTTGGGGTTCTGTACTCAACGCATGTCATGACCCTTCACTGTTGTAGCGATTCTAGCTCCATTTGTCAACTCCCCTGTAGGACCTGACAGGTAAAGTTAGGAAAGAGAAATCCATGAAGAGATGAAAGATGCAAAGGAAAAGGAACAGGATAGAGAGATAAGAAGAGGGGTTCATGGAAATTAGCGCAAAAGGAAATCAGGTGAGGTCCTTTTGAGGAGAGAGAGCGGTTGTCCATTCTGAGAGGTCAGTGGGGAGGACAGAGGGACACGCAGTTAAAAAGGAGCAGGTTCGAGAGAGCCTCTCTGGGTAAAAGGAAAACCGTGGACTTTTCCCGCGGTAAGTCAAACAATCTTGTGGAAAATGGCCGGCATTGGAGAAATGGTGAAAATTTAATTAAATGTAATAATCACCCACTGATAAGAAAAAAAAGATGGAACAAAACCGGGGAGAAGGATCAGATGCTTAAGAGATGCTGCCTTTTCAAGTGTGCATACAGTGATTGAGTATAGGCGAGGTTTTATCATTCCTTTGTGCCAATCATCCTTTATGGACCTGATTCAGGTCCGTTATATAGAACTGACAGTATAGTGCTTGTTGGTCAGAGCTGGCAACACAAAACTGGCCAGGAGTCTCGTCCATTTGGGCTTTAAATATATGTTAACATGGACATGTAGATAGATATAAATATATATTTGTGTGTGTGTAGAGCTATGTGCTAATATGTGTGTCTTGATCTGGAAATAAACACTGGAGCTCATAACTGAATCTTGACTTTATACTTTTTAACAACTGTCTGTGAGGTGGGTTTGGCTCCTGGTGAACCACATGGCTTGCTCTGGTTTAAAGTTCTACTCGCTTTTTATTCAGAGACAGTTATTTGCATTTTCTGCAGAGCAGTAGGTAATGAATATCCTGAAGGAGCAAGGCAGATGGGATGCAGGAAAAAAATAGAGGATTCCATATTACACACGACCCCTGTTTTATTGGGAAGTTCTCCTGAGGTGTCTTCACAGCGTGAAAGTATGTACAGTACTCTCAAGGTTGAGACAAGGATTCTGTGTCCTGCGCTTGCCTCAACAGTGAGCCCACACAGTGCACCATGCTGTACTCCCGCCAGGGGACCACAGAGACCATTGAGGAGGTAGAGGCAGAGCAAGAAGAGGAGGTGGTGGGACTGGCGCCTGACCTCGCCGACGTGGATGACGAGTACCACGCTGAGGACGGGGTGGGGGGTGAGGAGGTCCGCCTCACCCCTGATGCTGAGCTGCCACAGTACTCCACCATGGACGGGGATGTGGAAGTGCCACCCTCCTACAGCAAGGCTGTCAGCTTTGAGCGCCTCTCCTTTGGCTCGCAGGAGGACTCCACAGGCAAAAACCACATGGTGGTCAGCCCGGATGACAGTCGCACTGACAAATTGGAGTTGAGCATCTTACCTCCCTTGACCCATGAGCTGACAGCCAGTGAACTGCTTCTAAACAAGTAAGAATCCAGTAAGCAGAAAACCCCGGGGCTGCCGAGTTCCTTCCAGTGTATGTTGCCCCCTGTGTGCCAGGATAAAACTTTCCTCCCTAAGGTTTTCAGGGACGGACTTTTCAGATGGGGTCTAGAACCAGCAACCTTCTGATTAACGGCCAAGCACACAAACCATTTGAACTATCCAGGGACTCCTCAGTAAACAGACCAACACTATATTGAGAAATAATCACTTTAAAGGGGAAACTAAAATTTTGCATATATATATATATATATAAATTCATGTGAAAAAAGCTTACGTGGGCCTGGCATGGTGGTTACACATTGAGCGTCATCACTCTGAGACCACCAGGTGCTCCAAGGGAGAAAGACGGGGCTTTCTACTCCCAGAAAGAGCTATGATCCCATACACTCACAGGGCAGTTCTACCCTGTCCTATAGGGAAACCATGAATCGGCATCAATTCCATGACAGTGAAAGTACGTGAAAGGCGTTTATCGCAAACAGATACATGCCTTAGCACTCATGCAATTTCATGGTCTAACTAAGAAAAGCTCTCAGCGACTTAGCTGACGCTTGGTTCTCTAATAAAGTCTGATGTTAGGAATGCTTGGGGCCACAGGAGTCACCAGGAGCAATAGAGACCGCAGAGAACCTGTAGAGGTGTCCGCAGCAGAATGGAGCATGAAAGTGGAAGTACGTCACTTGGAGAAATTAGACAAGTGTATCATCTTTTGGTTTATGTTCACAGGATGTTTCGGGATGATGAGCTGGAAGAGTCTGAAAAGTTCTATGTTGGCCAGCCACGCTTCCTGCTGCTTTTTTATGCCATGTACAACACGCTCGTGGCCCGCTCAGAAATGGTGTGCTATTTTGTGATCATCCTCAACCACATGGTCTCCGCCTCCATGATCACCCTTGTACTCCCCATCCTGATCTTCCTGTGGGCCATGCTATCAGTCCCTAGGCCCAGCAGGCGGTTCTGGATGATGGCCATTGTCTACACAGAGGTATGGTTTGATGAATCCCTCTTTTCAGTATTTTGGCAACTGCCCCGACAGAATCACACAGCTTTGACTTTTGCTCCAGTATTTGCTGGGAATATTCACAAAGAACAATAGTTGGGTGGATAGTCTTAGAAAGGCAATTGATTATGACCAACTGTTACGTGTATCATTTCACACTTAACCCTGTGTAAAATATGTGGGGAGGAGATGAGCCAATCAGGGTGCAGGGTAGCAACGATGAAACATATAACTTTCCTCTGGTTCTTT